AGGGACATTACAACATGGTACACAGATGATACACTGGTACACAGATGACACACACTGGTACACAGATGACACACACACTGGTACACAGATGACACACACACTGGTACACAGATGATACACTGGTACACAGATGACACACACACTGGTACACAGATGACACACACACTGGTACACAGATGACACACACACTGGTACACAGATGACACACACACTGGTACACAGATGACACACACACTGGTACACAGATGACACACACACTGGTACACAGATGATACACTGGTACACAGATGATACACACACTGGTACACAGATGATACATACACTGGTACACAGATGACACACACACTGGTACACAGATGATACACACACTGGTACACAGATGATACATACACTGGTACACAGATGATACACACACTGGTACACAGATGATACATACACTGGTACACAGATGACACACACACTGGTACACAGATGACACACACACTGGTACACAGATGACACACACACTGGTACACAGATGACACACACACTGGTACACAGATGACACACACACTGGTACACAGATGACACACACGCTGGTACACAGATGATACACACACCATTGTTTCAACTCGTCTTCCTCAATATTATAATCACTAATTTCCTCGGGAAGCGATAGACCCGTACGGGATCGCTGTGCGATCCCGTAGGGAAATGGCAGGCAACCAGGTTCAATCAAAGGAAAGGGAGCGAAGTTCCAATTCCTTGGATCAAGAGAGCCGCAACGATATAACAGCACTTAACATTATATAGCTTGACCTTGAGGGTCGTCTTCCTCAACAACAACAACAGTTCAAGCGCTTCCTAGTGTTCATTTGTTTTATTTCTTATTATTCTTTTGTAATAATAAAGCATTTTTATCTAGCTTATATGTTTCTATTTATTTTGTATCTTTCTACTGTATATTCTTAACTATATCAAACAATTTTAATTATTATAATTATAATAATAATAATAATAATAATAATAATAATATATAATAATAATTATTATTATTATTATTATTATTATTATTATTATTATTATTATTATTATTATTATTATTTATTATTATTATTATTATTATTATTGTTGTTGTTGTTGTTGTTGTTGTTGTTGTTGTTGTTGTTGTTGTTGTTGTTGTTGTTATTAGCAAACACTGAACAGTATTGGTTCTACAACGGCTGAGGAACAGGGGAGTAATAAGGTTTGATCCAAGGAAAAGGGCGGTAACTCTGGCTCCTCAGATTCGACCCTCTTGAAGGTTTTTATGTTTGTATCATCTTGCTTCCGTATGTGAGTGTGTACGTGTTGAAGGTGCAGTGTGTGTACGTGTTGAAGGTGCAGTGTGTGTACGTGTTGAAGGTGCAGTGTGTGTACGTGTTGAAGGTGCAGTGTGTGTACGTGTTGAAGGTGCAGTGTGTGTACGTGTTGAAGGTGCAGTGTGTGTACGTGATGAAGGTGCAGTGTGTGTACGTGTTGAAGGTGCAGTGTGTGTACGTGATGAAGGTGCAGTGTGTGTACGTGTTGAAGGTGCAGTGTGTGTACGTGATGAAGGTGCAGTGTGTGTACGTGTTGAAGGTGCAGTGTGTGTACGTGATGAAGGTGCAGTGTGTATACGTGTTTAAGGTGCAGTGTGTGTACGTGATGAAGGTGAAGTGTGTGTACGTGTTTAAGGTGCAGTGTGTGTACGTGTTGAAGGTGCAGTGTGTGTACGTGTTGAAGGTGCAGTGTGTGTACGTGTTGAAGGTGCAGTGTGTGTACGTGTTTAAGGTGCAGTGTGTGTACGTGTTGAAGGTGCAGTGTGTGTACGTGTTGAAGGTGCAGTTGTGTGTACGTGTTGAAGGTGCAGTGTGTGTACGTGTTGAAGGTGCAGTGTGTGTACGTGTTGAAGGTGCAGTGTGTGTACGTGTTGAAGGTGCAGTGTGTGGTACGTGTTGAAGGTGCAGTGTGTGTACGTGTTGAAGGTGCAGTGTGTGTACGTGTTGAAGGTGCAGTGTGTGTACGTGATGAAGGTGCAGTGTGTGTACGTGTTGAGGTGCAGTGTGTGTACGTGTTGAAGGTGCAGTGTGTGTACGTGTTGAAGGTGCAGTGTGTGTACGTGTTTAAGGTGCAGTGTGTGTACGTGTTGAAGGTGCAGTGTGTGTACGTGTTGAAGGTGCAGTGTGTGTACGTGTTGAAGGTGCAGTGTATGTACGTGTTGAAGGTGCAGTGTGTGTACGTGATGAAGGTGCAGTGTGTGTACGTGATGAAGGTGCAGTGTGTGTACGTGTTGAAGGTGCAGTGTGTGTAAGTGTTGAAGGTGCAGTGTGTGTACGTGTTGAAGGTGCAGTGTGTGTACGTGTTGAAGGTGCAGTGTGTGTACGTGTTGAAAGTGGTGTGTGTACGTGTTGAGGGTTCATATTGTGTGTACGTGTTGAAGGTGCACGGTGTGTGTGTACGTGTTGAAGGTGCAGTGTGTGTACGTGTTGAAGGTGCAGTGTGTGTACGTGTTGAAAGTGGTGTGTGTACGTGTTGAGGGTTCATGGTGTGTGTACGTGTTGAAGGTGCAGTGTGTGTACGTGATGAAGGTGCAGTGTGTGTACGTGTTGAAGGTGCAGTGTGTGTACGTGTTGAAGGTGCAGTGTGTGTACGTGATGAAGGTGCAGTGTGTGTACGTGTTGAAGGTGCAGTGTGTGTACGTGTTGAAGGTGCAGTGTGTGTACGTGATGAAGGTGCAGTGTGTGTACGTGTTGAAGGTGCAGTGTGTGTACGTGATGAAGGTGCAGTGTGTGTACGTGATGAAGGTGCAGTGTGTGTACGTGTTGAAGGTGCAGTGTGTGTACGTGATGAAGGTGCAGTGTGTGTACGTGTTGAAGGTGCAGTGTGTGTACGTGTTGAAGGTGCAGTGTGTGTACGTGATGAAGGTGCAGTGTGTGTATGTGTTGAAGGTGCAGTGTGTGTACGTGTTGAAAGTGCAGTGTGTGTACGTGATGAAGGTGCAGTGTGTGTACGTGTTGAAGGTGCAGTGTGTGTACGTGATGAAGGTGCAGTGTGTGTACGTGTTTGAAGGTGCAGTGTGTGTACGTGTTGAAGGTGCAGTGTGTGTACGTTTTTGAAGGTGCAGTGTGTGTACGTGTTGAAGATGTAGTGTGTGTACGTGTTGAAGGTGCAGTGTATGTACGTGTTGAAGGTGCAGTGTGTGTACGTGTTGAAGATGCAGTGTGTGTACGTGTTGAAGGTGCAGTGTGTGTACGTGTTGAAGGTGCAGTGTGTGTACGTGTTGAAGGTGCAGTGTATGTACGTGTTGAAGGTACAGTGTGTGTACGTGTTGAAGGTGGTGTGTGTGTACGTGTTGAAGGTGCAGTGTGTGTACGTGTTGAAGGTGCAGTGTATGTACGTGTTGAAGGTGCAGTGTGTGTACGTGTTGAAGGTGGT